CTGCAGGGACTTTGTCCCCCACTGTGGAGAGAGTAGAGTGAGGTCAGTTGAGAATAGATTTTTCTTCCTTCCTGAGAAAAGCCCAATCTTTGTCTGACTTTCTCCCCTCATCCATCCTTCAGGTCTCAGGGAGGCCATGGGAGCTGCGGGCCCACCCCAGGCTTGCACTAGGCCCTTGGCATGTGCTCCTACAGCCCCTGCAAGTGCCCCCTGTGGTAACACTCATTCCTACCATCCCCCTTGCTGAAGGCTTCTCTTCCCACCTCTGTGAGCCCCATGAAGGGAGGGTTTGGCATACTGCCTAGCACATAGTATGTGCTCAGTAAATGCTGAAAGACTAAAGGGAAAATTAGGGATATCCAGCTGTACAATGAGAGACTAAAACAGAATGGGAGACGGTGAAAGAGAGAGGGAGACAAGAGTGAGAAAGGTAAGGAGGGAAAGGCAAGAAAAGAATGCAGAGAAAGCAGGGTGAGCCAGACAGAAGCAGTCAGGGTAAGAGCATAAAGTGGACAGCCAGGGAAGGCAGGAGAAACAGGAGAAAATATAGGAATCGAGAAAATCAGAGTCAACCAATAGAAAAAGTGGGGCATGAAGCAGGAGAGCAGTGAATGGAGGGAGGAGGAAGGAGGGAGAAGGGAAAGTGCAGGAGGGGCGCAGGTGGGTGCTGGAGGGGACCACACCCCACAAACCTGGCGCCAAGCACCTGAGGGAAGGCAGTGGAGTGAGTGAGCCGGGGAGATGGCAGGGAGAGAGGGGCAGGAGGAACCACACACTGGAGAGCTAGGAAAAATGGAGGAAGATGCACAGGTGGAGTGGGCCAGCCCGCAGAAGCCACCTGGGGGGGCTTGAAGAGGTGGGCATCCCACCAGACTCAGAGACCTTTGCAGGAGGCTGAAAATCTCTCAGGGCCCCTGCCTGGTTCCACCCTGGTCCCCTGGATGGTGCTAGGGACAGGGTTTGACTGCTTTCTTTTCCTTCAGTTTCTAATGTCCCTCCTCCTGTGCCAGAGGAAGTGGACGAGGAGGGAGGAGGTTGGTGATAGATTTGGGCGGGACACCCTGTCACCCAAGCCCAAGGGATATTTATAGATATTCATGGCGCTGACTCCAAACTGTCACTGCAGCAGGATGGCCCTGCAATGGGGCACCAGGGATTTTGGCACATCCTCCCTCCCTCTCCTCAAGCTTCCAGGGTGGTGACTTGGGTGTCTGGTGGAGGGAAGGAGGCCTAGAAAGATCCATCCCCCCCACCAGGGGCCTGGAGCTGTGGGAAGGCCTCGCAGGGCAAATATAAAAACCGCTGAAGGGGGCAGAATCCCAGTAATCTTAGCCACCCGGCCCCCACCCCTCCCTTGTCAGGCATTAAGTGTCCCTCACCGGAGGGCGGGGCTCCTCCTTGAGCTCCCTCCTCCCAGGTCTCGTGCTCTCTGCTGGGGCCTGAGTTTCCCTTACATGGTCGGGGGCTTGAGCCTTCAGCCCTCCTCCTCTCTTCTATCCTCACTCCTTCCCCTCTGAGAGGCCTCAAGGGCACTGAGAGGTCAAGACTGAAAGCTGACCAAGCTTGAGGGTGGGTGGAAGGAGAGGGAGGCCAGGCCTCAGGAGGGGGTGGAGATGGGGCCATTGGCAGACACTGGGTTCCACCTGTTGCTTGCAAGTGCTGGGTAAGAGGAGGGGGAGCAGGGGTCTGCCTGCAGCTTCAGGGACAGGACTGGCTGTTCCTGCTGAGATTCCGGCATGCCCTGGGGTGACCTCCTGAGGAGTTGGGGAAGGAGAAGTAAAGCCTCCACCATCCTCCTGGACATAGGCTCAGGGGCTGACCAGCTCTCACCTTCTTATTGGCCTTGGACACAAGACCTCCCATCCTGGACCACCCATTCCCATCACTCACCGGCCACCTCCACAATGTCCCCAGGGACAATGTCCCGAGCCTTGATCCTTTGCACTGACTTGCGGTCAGCCCGGTAGACCTTCCCCATCTCAGGTTCATATTCCTTCAGAGCCTCAATGGCATTCTCTGCATTACGCTCCTGAAGGGATGGGGCAGAGGGGAGGAGGGTCATCAGAGGGAGGAAGGTCATGGAAGGAAAGGGGACTGGTCAGGGAAGACTGGGGTGGGGAGAAGGAAGGCAGGTAGAGAGGCAGGGGCAGAGGCCAGGATCCTGGGGGAAATAGGGACACCACAGAGGAGGCAGGGTGATGCAGTCTGGCTCCCGACAGAGGGAAGTAGACAAAACCCCACATGAGGGCAGGTTGTGTGTGTGTGTGTGTGTGTGTGTGTGTGTGTTGAGGAAGCTGTAACCTACAATTGAAAACAGGTAAGAGGGCTTGGGGGAGAGAAGAAAGGAGAACCAAAGAGAATCAGAAAGCAGGGGACAGGAAAAGTAGAGGGCGGTAAGGTAAGAGGAAGAAGGAAATCAAACTAGCGTTTTTTTAATTCCTATATATACCAAGCATGGTGTGGTCCTTTTAGACTCATCTTGTTTAATTTCACCATGAGTCTGAGGGACAGAATTATTAGCCCCATTTTATGGATTAGGAAACTGAGGCTCAGAGAGATGAAGGAACTTGCTCAAGGTCATACAGCCAGCAAGCGACAGTTGTTCCCAGTCTCCTACCTCTTCCCAACACTCCAGCCCCTTTCCAAGCTGGCCGATAGGACCAGAGAAAAAGGCAAGCCCAGGGGAAGAGAAGGAGGAGGAGGAGACCGGAGGGAAGGTTGGCTTCAAGTTCAGTGTCGGGACAGGAAGAAGTAAGGAGGGGTCAAAGCTAACCTGCCAAACCCCCACGATGGCGTTGGCAATGAGGATCAAGAGGATGACAAAGGGTTCCACAAAAGCGGTGACAGTCTCTTCACCTTCCTCAAACCACGCCAGCACCTGGGGAGCAGGGGGAGGGAGAATGACAGGTAATTTTACACCCAAGTGGGTAAAGAAAGGAAGAGGAAGGATCCTAAGGACCGCTACAGAGGCGAGACCATGCGCAGGAGCTAGCAGCGGAGGGCGTCCTGGGGGCACCGCAGCCCCACATCTGTTAGAGGTTCTTGCACGCTCACAGCACGAATACACTTCCACTGTCCTTACTCTGCAGGAATAGGCGGGCACAGGCATGCACAACGTGGGGATTAACTGGGAAAGCTTTCAGGTTTCCCTGACTGAGTTGTTGGCTTGTAAGTGAAGCTCGGGGAACACCCAGGCCAACTACCCTCACTGCCGCATCCATCCCACAGGAGCCAAAACCCGCTAGGAAAAACCCTGTAGTCCTCACAGGTGCCTGGCCCATCCGCGGCCCTCCCCCACAGCGACGCAGGGAAGCTCCAATTTCACGAGGGAGCAGGAGCGGGGGATAGGGTTACCCCGCCCCAGCTGTTGCCACTGCCAGGCAACAGCTACAAGCAAATGTCAAGGAGCAAATCTGAGAAGGGAGAAGGGAGGCCATGCCAGCTTGTGATACTCAGGGGCGGACAGGGCCTCCGTTAAGGAGACCAAGGGACAGGGAGACTTTTTTGCCTGCCGGGTCTTGTCTTCCCGCAGGCCTAAGAGGTTAAGAAAGAAACTCCGCAATGCAAGATGGCCTGCCGGGATGGCGGGTGCAAGAGTCACCTGAGGGGGGCTGCGGGAACTGAAGGGCCCAGGGCAGGAGAGGTGGCGGGGCTCCGAAGAGGGAGGCGGTGGGGGTAAGTCGGGCCGGGCAGGTAAGGAGCGACATCCCGATCTCCGGCCAGGATGGGGGGCGTGGCGAAGCCCGGGGCAGGCGAGGGGTCCGGGCCCTCGGGCGCCCTCCGCGTCCCCCCCCGCCCCCCACCCG